CCTTTCAGAGGGTGGGGGGGATTATTTTTTAAAAATTAAGAAAAAGATTAATCATGGATCTCAAAGTTGCTCATTCCAATAGTTGCTCCTTCACCCAAGAGGCCTCACCAATCTGGCTGGGGTCCCGCAGGTCAAAGAAGCTGACGAAACACTGGTAGCCCATCTGCTTGTCCGTGGAAAACATGATGATGTTTCCTCCGAAGTCAAAGCCGCAGGTCCGTACAGCGGAGTTGGTCTTGACCAGAGCCAGCTGCTTGCCTAGGCAGAGGGTATGACAGAGAAAGCCAGCTCGTGATGTGGTGTGTGGGGAACCGTGTGAAGAATTGCCTTGTGTGGAATGTAGACAGAACTTTTCCTCCATCTCCCAAAATACCAAGAACTTGAGGGCATCCAATGAAGTTGATTAGCAGTAGATTCAGGACAGGCAAAAGGAAATATTTCTTTACTCAATAAGTGACTAAAATGCAGAATTTGCTGCCTGAGGATGTAATGATTCCTCCAAGCATAGATGGCTTTACAAGGGGATTAAACCAGGGGAGGCCAAGCTGCAACTCGGGAGCCACATGCAGCTCTTTCATACAGTCTAATTTAATGTTAATAAAAAGCAAATTCACATATTTTTCAATAAAAACATGTGTGTAACATTTGTTCATGTCATGTGGCTCTCAAACACCTGATGTTTATTTTGTGTGGCTGTTATGTTAAGTAAGTTTGGCCACCCTGGATTAGACAGACTCACGGAGGATAAGTCCATTGGTGACTACTAAAGAGGAGCCTCCACACTCAGAAGTCAAACACCACTGCCAGGAAGCAACATCAAGGGAAGACCTTAGCATCTGTGCCCTGCTGTTGGACATCCAAAGGAACTGGTTGGCTACTGTGTGAGACAGGATGCTGGACTAGGTGGACCACTAGTCTTATCCAGCAGAATTCTCCTTAAATTATGTTTTTAATTAGCCCAATGCATGTTCCTCTGCTTGCTCATCAAGGTCAAAGCAGGGACATTTCTTTCCCCACCCAGCTACCTGACAGTCTCTTAACCGGAGACACTGAAGATTGAATTCTGGGACTATGCAAAGCCGTACAGCCCCTCATTCACCACCAAAGAATAACCCCCAGGCTGGCAGTCCCAGCCTTATGCGTGTTTATTTAAGAACAAGCCCAGCACTTCCTGAGCAGAAGTGCATCAGTGTACATAACCTCTCACATGATGGAGAAAATGAAAGGAGAAAGGATAGGCTGGGGGAGAGGAGAGGAGGTAGAAAAATACAAAGCAAGCTAATTTGGTGTAGTGGTTAAGTGCGGGGACTCTAATCTGGAAGAACCGGGTTTGATTCCCCACTCCTCCACTTGCACCTGCTGATGTGACCTTGGGTCAGTCACAAGCTCTGGCACAGCTGTCCTTGAAAAAGAGCAGTTTGTGTCAGAGTTCTCTCAGCCCCACCCACCTCACAGGGTGTCTGTTGTGGGGAGGGGAAGGGAAAGAAGTTTGTAAGCTGCTCTGAGACTCCCAAGTGAAGGGCGGGGTATAAATCCAATCTCTTCTTCTTCTTCTTCTAATTAAAAATGATGTTGTAAAAATCAACTGCACCAACAGCTGATGCCTTGCTTTGCAAAAGCCTGGGGTAGCTGCAGGAATCAGAGAGTGACCTAAAAGTTCAAGCAGAAGCTAAACAAGGCAGGATCTGGAAACAATCCATAAGGTGCTTTGGGCCCCAGGAAGGAAGTGCAGATAGGAGGTTAGCAAAGACAGGGTGGGTTGTTGTTTTTCAAAGGAATCACAGCCGAGTCCCAAGGCCTCAAAGTGGGATGACCCAGTTACCACATTTTGTTTTAAATATGGTTAACTCTGCTTACCCGTGTAGATCCAGGAATGTATCAAATTAATCAAAACCAATAAGGGCAAGTCCTGCGCTCTGTTGTGCAGGTCTCCAGTTTTCTCTAGGGACCTCATACCCACCCTCCCCTCCCACACACACTGCTTACAGGACTCTCAACAGTACCCACTGTTTCTAAATTCTACCTGTTTCGCAGTCCCAGAGATGACAGCTGTTGTCTGCAGAACCGGTCAGCACATGCCTCGTGTCCCCTGAAGGAGCAGTGAAGGAACTCAAAAATGTAAACACAGACATCTTCATGCAGGGAATGTTTGCATGCCACTGTGCAGTTTCAATATCCAGGCAGAAACATGATGCCACAATCAGAATGCATTTCAAAACATGGCACCAAAGGGCATGAGGGTTTTGTTTTTTGTTGTTAGTAGTTCTACAATAGTGGTAGTGGTTAGTGGTTCTACAATAGTGGTAGTGGTTAGAGTTCTACAATAGGGCTAAAGAGACCTGGGTTCACTGGGTGACCTTGGGCCAATCACAAGTTTGTTGTGAGGATGAAATATAAGCTGCCTTGAGCTTCTAGGAGGAAAGGTAGAATAAAATGGTGAGGGGCAGCACCAGAATACTTTTTCCATTCATGTGTGCAAAATCAAGATATATCTTTACTAATGTGCCTTCCAAAATGCATTAGATACCCAATGAAAATATTCTTACTAGTTTGTTAACTTGGTTTAGATGGCTCTCTGAACCTTCAAATTATGTAATGTAGTCCTATTAAATTTGCAGTGGTGCCTCTTAAATTAACAGTCTCTCAACCACACAACATTCTCATTTTCTTAATCTGAAGGATACAGTCAGCATCAACACACCAGACAGCTCCAGTATGTCCATTGTATGTGCCAAGCCTCTCACCGTTGACAGAATACCAAACATTGACAATCTGGTAACAGAGGAGTTGTAGTTACATGCACAAAGACAAGATCCAGCAACAAATTGCAGAATATTTCAAACAATTTCTGGATTAGACAATGGAATGTTTTGAAAGCGATCAAAACCTCTTTACATGTTGAATAAAGGAGACATAATAGACAACACATTTTAAATATTAACAAAGCTAATCCACTAGACACCTGAAATACACTTTTTCCAGGGTTGGCTGTGAAATAGTTCCCCAGTTTTGCATATGAAGAAAAAAACAAAACAAAAACTAAGAATGGAGAGATTAAAAAAATGTTTGACCGACAAAAGAGAAATATTTGTCTCGACATACAGGACCAGAACACAATGAATAGGATATCAAATGTTTTGATTCAGCATGACAAAAACCAGATTTCATGTTCTCTAAGGTAGTAAAGCAGCTTATTCAATTAATAAAACTTAAAAAGAAAATGACTACCCTCCTCTCAAAAAATTACCACTGGCAATTAATAAATAAATTTTTCAAACCTCTGGAAGCTATGTGGCACTTGTTATCAAAAGGTGTGCAGATGACCACTTATGACCATCATAAGAAGCATGTTGCACAACCTCTGGGCCCCTGTAGCAAAAGCCCTGCTCTGCTACCCTGCCTCAGGTCCTAGCTCTTTTCAAGAGTATGGCTTACTTAACAAAGTAAGGGATTGTAAGAGACTGCACAGGAGGCAATGTGTCTGCAGATATGTAGGTACCAGGCGACAGAATTATGGCCAAAGCTAAGTAAGTAGCTGTTACAATACAGGCTGGACAACCCCGCCCCCCTTAAGTATATGGATACCACATTGCACACCTGCTGAAGCTTCTGAATTGATTTCAAGGGCAGCCCCATGGACGACTTACTGCATTTTCCACTCAAGGTTTCAAAGGTATAGATGTTATTGGTATTTTTTTGTATGTGTGTGCACGCGCGCATGGGTGGGTGTGCATCTGGAAGTCATGGTGACCTCTGGTGCCCTGCCCCTACTTGGGGCCTGGAGGATATTCAGAGAGGTGGCTCCCGACTGCTGGTATTCCAAGGAGGTCTCCCATCCAAGTACTTGCCAGAGTTGGCCCTGTTTAGTTTCTGAGATCTGATGAGACTGGCCTTGCCTGGGATACCCAGGTCATGGCAAAAAGGTACGAATGCTGATGGCCAGGGAAAGTCCTTTTCCGGGAAAGGCCTTGCTGGCTTATTGGAGACAATCAAATGTGCTCTTAGCTATATTCTCCACCTGAGTGTGTGTCCATATGTGTTCATATGTACATACCCTTCAGTTTATTATTTGCATTCTCCAGATAACAAAAGGATACCACTTTGGATTGAAACGTACAGAACAAAAATTCAATAAAATCTTACCGGATCTTTGGCCACTGTGAACAACAAGTCACCTTCCCTGTTATATTTGATCTGAGTAATTGACCTCTCATGGCCCTGAAGCAGGATAGGTTTCTGAAGGAAGGCAGATTAAACAAACAAGCAAGTGGAAATATTAGAGACCACTTTGCTGGAAATATGAACATTAAACCTGGATATTGTTTACATCACTCACAAAACAAATAAATACAACCTATTCAATTGTAAGGATAGGGTCTGTCAGGGGGCATGTACATCATTCTCTTCTTCTCCCATTTTACTCACAGTCACAAGAACCCTATGAAGTAAGATAGGCTGAGAGAGTGATTGACCTAAGGTCGGTGGAGAACCTCTAGGGAGGAGGAACTGCTGGATGGATCCTTCCATCCTCCATCTTAGTCTCTTTGCTACACAGATGCATCACCCATTCTGACATGGTAGGAGCAGGCAAACTAGCTCAGTCTAGGTTGCCAATTCTAGCTCGGTAGATTCCTGGAGATTTGGGATGGGGCCTGGGGAGGGTGCTCAGCAGGGATGTGATGCCGTGTAGCCCACGCTCCAAAGCTGCCATATTCTCCAGGAGAGCTGATCTTTGTAATGTGGGTATCAATTTTAATTCCGGGAACCCTCCAAGCTCCACATGAAAGGCGGCAATCTATTAGCTCACTACTCGCGCAGGCAGGGCCGATAGGCCACAGGGGACCACAACTTACCATTGCTGTGGTTAGGAGAGGCCGGCGACAACAGCACGCGGAAAGGCAAAAGATCCACTTCCGGGGTCAGACCGGTAAAGTGCAGACGACGATTGCAGGCCACGTGATCTTACTTCCGGTTTCCGTCACCAGACACAAAAAGGAACGCAGTCCGGCTAGACTGGCATAACAGGAAGCCTGAACTTCTGGCCGTAACCGGCCGCTTGAAATATCTATCCGTTGAAAAGAAAAGCCGGGTCGGTTTGAGAACGAAAGTGCCAGTAAGGACCGAGAAAGGTGGCCGCTCTATTCTTTAATACGTCAGATCTCTATGGTCATCATGCCTCTTGCGCGCAATTCGAAACCGGAAATGTTCTAATTTCCCAGGGCATTCAACACTTCTGATGTTTAGCTTGCCGAACAAAAAGCTAGAAAGGTGATAGAGAAGCCATGGAGATGGAATAGGTAGAGCGACCACCTGCCTTCCGCCATTCGAATGTAGACTTTCAGTTCAAGTGGCGCTCTGCGCTTTTCGTCTACCGCGATTCTGTAGTCGACCAGTATGGCGTCGCTAGGTGAGAGACTTACTTCCGGTGCTTGGTAGGGGGGCATGAAGGGGCTCACGATAGTCTCCTTGTTCCGGGGTAGGAGTCGAAAGGAGGTGTCCCAAGTAACGATGGCACCCTCCAGGTGGGACCCGGCGATCCTCCGGAATTGCATCTCATCTCTAACCGACAGAGATAATTTCTCCTGGAGAAAATGGATGCTTTGGCGTGTGGACTCTGTGGCATTGTACCCGACAGAGGTCCATGTCCTCCTCAGGCTCCATCTCCAAAGCTCCAGGAGTTTCCCAACCTGGATTTACCAACCCTTTCCCTTATCGCCCGCCGGGGGAGGGGAAGGGGGGGGCTGGAAACCCTAGTAACGGACTCTTATACGTGATCCTCCACTCACAGCTACAGGGAAATGCTGACATTTACTTTCCTATCAAACCTAAACTTTGCATTATTTCTCTACTTAGCATGTGAAATAGCATTATTTGGCATATGTACTGAATTTAGAAGTACAAATCCCTTTGTTTTTTTGCAAATAAAATTGTAAATATACCCCATACCTGAGAGAGAGCTGCAAACTGCAGTACCCTCTGCTACCTTAGCACACATATGTTACTTTTTGTAATCTGAGAGATGGGAGGATCAGAAAATAAATTGTTGTTTTTAAAAAATGCATAATTTGGACAGAAGCGGATCTGGGTAAAAGTCGGATCTACACGGATCCTAATGATTTTTAAATTGAAAGGAAATAAAACCACCATTATACTGTAGCCCATGTGTTACTCTATAGGGGGCACCACAGAAATCACGCATCCACAGCTTCGTGGCACCACAACAGCACAAAAACATGATTCCAAAGCACAGATCCTCATGAATTCATATGATTTTTATGCTGAAACAAAATAAAACCACCAGCATTCTGAAAGCCATGTCTTAGACACTATAGGCAGCACTACAAAAATCATGCCTCCACAAATTCGTGGCACCACAAAAGTGAAAAGACATAGTTCCAAAGCACAGATCCTCATGGATCCTCAGCATTTTTCAATTGGGTTACTCCCAACATCACCATCAAATCACATATCATGTCCATGTCCACAGCTTGCACCACAGAAATCATGAGTCCACAACTTGGTGGCAAATCCATGCTGCAAAAAAAGGGTTCTGAACCATGGACACTTATGGATCCTCAGGGATTTTGTGCTGGGTCACCTCAGACTCACCATAGAATCATATATCATGTCCATGGCCACAGTAATCACCACAAAAATCACAGATCCACGGTTTTGTGGCAACATCATGCTCCAAAAACATTATTCCGAAGCACGGATCCTCATGGATCCTAATGATTTTTGCATTAGGTTACCCCAACATCACCATCAAATCACATATCTTGTCCATGGCCACAGAATGCACCACAGAAATCACTTGTCCACGGCTTCATGGTGACACCATGCTGCACAAACATGCTTCTGGAGCATGGATCCTCATGGATACTTGCAATTTTTGTTTTGGGACACCCCAAACATATTATTAAATCCCATATCATGTCCATGACCACTACTTGCACCAAAGAATTCATGGATCCACGGCTTCGTGGCAGCACCATGCTGCAAAAACATGGTTCTGAAGTACGGATTCTCATGGATCCAGTGTTTTTGCAATGGAACACCCCAAACACACCATCAAATCACATAACATGTCCATGTCAATAGCTTGCACCACAAAAATCATGGATCCACAGCTTTGTGGCAACATCATTATGCGAAAACATGGTTCTAGAGCACAGATCCTCATAGATGCTTGGTTTTTTTGCGTTGGGACACCCCAAACCTACCAAAAACCCCATATCATGTCCATGGCCACTACTTGCACCACAGAAGTCATAGATCCACGGCTTCGTGGAAACATCGTACTACAAAAACATGGTTCTGAAGCACGGATCCATATGGATCCTTATGATTTTTGCATTGGGTCACTCCAAACACACCATCTAATCACATAACATGTCCATGGGCAGCAGCATGAACCACAAAAATCATGGATCTACAGCTTTTTGGGAACACTATTCTGCAAAAATAGCAGAACACTATTCTGGAGCACGAATCCTTGGGGTTTTTGCAATGGGTCACCCCGAAGACACCATCAAATCAGATAACATGTCCATGCCAACATCTTGAACCACAAAAATCATGGATCCACAGCTTCGTGGCGACATCATTTTGCAAAGACATCGTTCTGGAGCACGGATCCTCATGGATCCTCAGGGTTTTTCAGTTGGGTAACCCAACATCACCATCAAATCACATATCATGTCCACGGGCACAGCTTGAACCACAGAATTCATAGATCCACGGCTTTCTGGCAACACCATGCTGCAAAAACATGGTTTCAGAGCATGGATCCTCTGGGTTTTTGTGTTGGGTCACCATGAACTCACCATCAAATCACATATCACGTCCATGGGCACAGCTTGCACTACAAAAGTCATGGATTCACAGCTTCATGTCAACACCATGATGCCAAAACATGGTTCTGAAGCACAGATCCTCATGGATCCACAGTGTTTTTGCAATGGGACATCCCAAACACACCATCGAATCACATAACATGTCCATGTCAACAGCTTGCACCACAAAAATCATGGATCCACAACTTTGTGGCAAAAACATTATTCTAGAGCACAGATCCTCATAGATGCTTGGGTTTTTTGCAATGGGACACCCCAAACACACCAGTGAATGAAATAACATGTCCATGTCAACAGCTTTCACCACAAAAATCATGGATCCACAGCTTTGTGGCAACATCATTATGCAAAAACATGGTTCTAGAGCATGGATCCTCATAGCTGCTTGGGTTTTTTGTGTTGGGACACCCCAGACTACCATCAAATCACATATTATGTCTATGGGAACAGTTTGCACTGCAAAAGCCATGGATCCACAGCTTCGTGGCAATACCATGATGCCAAAACGTGGTTCTGAACCACAGATCCTCATGGATCACTCCGGGCAATCTGGGCAAGGGGGCGCATATAGATGTTAAATAACATCGGGGAAAGAACAGCCCCCTGGGGCACCCCATATTCAAGAGGGTGTCTCCGGGACTGCTGTTCCCCAATTCCCACCCGGAGACTGCTGTTCCCCAATTTGGATCACTCATGTGACCCTATCCTAGTCCATGCTAGGAGATAATACAAACAAAATAAACAAGCGAAAAACAACAAAACAAAGCATTAAAGTAATGGCACCACAGCATTCGTGGATCCACAGCTTTGTGGCATAGCCATGCTGCAAAAACATGGTTCTGGAGCATGGATCCTCATTGATGCTTGGGGTTTTTGTGTTGGGACACACCAAACTGACCATTAAATCCCATATCATGTCCATGGCCACATACTATGCATACCTTTCGTCCATGTACAAGAGGCCGGGGTTCTGCTTACCTTTTGTCTGTGTACAAGAGGCCAAGTTCGGTCCTTGGCATCTCCTACTGACAAATCCTTTCACCTCTGCAGTTTTGTCCACCTGGCTTCCTGCAATTCTGTGTGCCCTGTGTCACTTGGTGGACTTAGATCCAACAATTTGCCCTCCTCTCCTCTGTATGAGGGCTACCAGTCTCCAAGTGATTATATCA